GGACTGTCCTGCCAAAAGCGGGACGTCTGGTCACCTTAATTTAAGAGGCCGCACTCCCCTCGTGTATAAGATAGCGTGATTGGACCGCACACCTTCTGTAGCCTTAGACTGCTCCCCTTCTCCTGTAGGGAAACAGGGTTCTCCACGGCTCCTGGCTCTTGACTCTGCCCTATGGTGAAAGTGCGCAAGCAAGATAGGCCAGTTCCCAGGCCTTGCCCTTCACAGAGCTGAGAGAGGTTTCCTGCTCCCTGCTCGCTTTCCGCGCCACCCTGCCACCTCTCTGTCCCTAGCTGGCTGGTCTGCGTCCAGCAACTCCGGTGGAGAAAAGCTTCGTGTAAAAAGTTGCGAACAATTTGGAATTAGATCTCGTTGCGATCTGGACCTTACCCGCTCTTTGCAATCTATGCTGATAACCCGGGGATCCCCAAAGGATGTTGCCCTTTGCGTCCACTTTGCATCCTGTGGACCTGACGGTAACGGCAGTTTCTCTATTGAACTGCTGCGCTGTGACCATGAGACAGTGACCACGTTTTCAAAGCACACGGTACCACATGCCACCAACCCCTGTACCCATACGTGGCCACATAGCCATCTTTGTTGGATCCTTTTAAGCAGAATTCTTCCGTTAATTTTCCTTCTCTTTTTTCTTTTTAAAATTGTAGCCGGAATCTGCCAGAGGCTCTGAGAGTGCAGTGAATGAACTGAAAGGGATCTTGGTAAGAACGCATCTCCGCTCGCCATCCGTTAAGAGGGAAGTCATGGGGAAATGTTCCCGAATGGTTGTGCCACTCCTTGTCTGGAATATGCTTTGTTTCCACCAGGCTTGCAGTAAACACTTTACTTGACTGTGTTTACGGACCTCTGCACCCACCGGGGTTAACAGTGCATCCGATAACCCTGGGCTCCTTCTACTCTCACGTCTCAGCCATCAGTTTAAAGCAACAAAAAGTGTGCCAGCAGCCCGGGGTCAAGCTTTGCTCTTTGCGATAGCCTTGTCCCCTTCCAAAGGCAGTGCACACTCGGAGAACCCAGTACCCACCTCTAGTCACCCTCCTGCTTTCCCAAGTGTGAGCGTCTGCCCATGAAATTCAATGGTGCCCGGACCTCTCGGACGGCTGCCTTCAAAGACGAGCGCCTCCCTTAGAAAATGCTTCCGAGCCTGTGCGCTGTGGTCTCGGCTCCTGTTAGAGCCCCAATATCTGTTATTGTGCACAGTAAGTCTAGCAACGCGGGGGCGGACAGAGGTAGAGGGCTAAATACACCCATGTTTGTTGTGACTGTGCTAATTATGCATTGCTTGTAGACATCCACATAATTGCCGTAAACAAATTACTTTCATCAAGCGTGTCTTTAAACATTCTGAGACTTAACTCAATGGCTTAATGAATTGGCTTTTGTTTTAGGTGTGTGGGATTAGCACTGAAGAGAGGTGTCTCGCTGGCTAGCAGTGGGGCTCTACCTGAGAACAGGGTGCTAATGCCCGGGAGAAAGCCCTGTAGTTATTATCTAGCAGGGTCCTCACTCAGAGATGCTGCTCCCCAGCATGGTTAGGCGCTACCTTAGTTCAGCTCCTTCTGTGGTCTCCAAATTACAGTGGCAGTTCCGCTTCCAGGGAGATGCTGCTCAGTCACTGGGAATGAAGCCCTAGACTAGGGGTGGGAGCCCTTTTTCCTGGCAAGGGCCAAGTGGATCTTTATAACATCATTCGAGGGTCATACACAATTAGCTTCTTAAGAAAAAATAGCTTGTTCTATTTGGTCAAACATTTCATTCATTCACCCTTAATGTGGTGGCTGGAACTAGCTGCTTTTTGGTGAGGTGTGTGACGTTAGCTAGTACGGGTCATTTCCAGGCCGGTGTAAGGCCCCTGGGTTGGACATCCCCCTCCATCCCCAGATAGAGTTCTGGGTCATCAATGAAAGACACATACAGAATTTAGATTTTACTAAAATGCCACTTTCTTTGAACATTCAGCTAGCCATGTGGGAGCCATATGACAATGTGTTACACAGGCTGTTAACAAGTGCGCCGAATTACGGCTTTGCCCTTAGAGTTTAAATTCACTTTAATTCCGTGCGGCTTCAAGGAGAGACAGTTGTGAGATCATGTCAGAAATAATGGACAAATTATGAATTAAAAAAAAAAACATCTCTCAGTAAATTACTCCCCTCTCCCTACCCTGTATTTGTTGTTTGTCCTCCTTTGGAATGCATGCATTGTGCTGGCACTACTCCAAGGGAAGAACAACAACCGAGCTCCCGGGGTCCTCTCGTACTTTTCTTTGCCAGTTGACCCATAGAAGTTTCCCTGCAGAGACACTGGTAACTAAGTCCCAGTCACTTGGGGCCAAGAACATCCTACACATAAATCTTTGTAACACAGAAAGGAATCCCTACTTCTGCCTGCCAACCAGATGGGGCTTTAGAGGTGCTGTTGGCCAAAGTCTACTGCACACGCAGGAAAGCACACCCCACCAGCCTTAAGGGTTGTGTCACCTGGGAAACAAGCATGAAGGAAGGAATGTGGCAAGTGTACACAGTGTATCCTATGGTGTGGAAAGTGAGTGTGTCTATATGTTGAACCGAGTGGCCCTGGTTCACTCAACTGTAGAACAGAAACCTGGATGCAGCGATGGTGGGTATGTTTTATCAAAATAGAATGGGACCTGGGTTATGCAGTAGATTCACAATTTAAGATCGGACCTGCCTCTGAGAATTGGCCCATGAGTGGAGACTCACCTCTGGGTTAGGGGCCGTTGGGTAACCTCACTCCGTTTGGCGAGCTTAATTTTTCCATGTCACACAGCTTTGTCCTTGTGATGACCAGTTAACTGACATGGAAAGCAAGACCTTGAAACGATCACAGTGACCCAATGTTGAAAGAACAAGAGAAGATCTAAATTTGAGATCCAACCAGCCCTATTACAGACTCGTGGACAAAGTCAGGTTCCGAGGCTCACCGAGTTTGAGTTTCCTCCCGTGTCAAGCAAGTTAAGTCAATTCGGACCCGTGCTAACCCTGTAGGGCAGAGCAGAATTGCTTCTGCGGTTTCTTGGAATGTGTATCTTCATCGGAGCAGGCTGCCTCTTTTCCCTGGGGGCTAGTGGGTTTGAACGGCCAACTTCGCCCCGTGCTTACTTGAATCCCACTCTCAATTGTTGTACCACCTGGGCTCCTTGGGACTGTGTGTGCCACATGGTTTCTAAGGTAATTTCTGATTCTCAGTCTATAATCCGAATATAAATAGATGATTCAAGATGATCTTGATGCTCTGTTAGCTGGGCTCCTTGATCATTTCAATGGAGAGTCATACCGAAAAGCTTTCTTCCATTGTTGCCTCTCAATGTAGAGTGAATGGAATCAACCACATCAGTCGGTAGCTGCACAGAGGTTTGGGGTTCAAGGATAAGACCGGTGGAAAGATCCCTGCCATTCTAGGTGTGATAGGAGCACAGCTCACGGTAGTCAGGATTTTTGGGAAATGCCGCTGCTGTGCTCATGAAAAATAGAGAACATAGTGAAAGCGAAACTAATAAAAGATGTTCTTGGGAGGAACACGTGTGTATGTATGTATATGTGTGTACACAACACACACATTTCTTGGAATTAACTCCAGCCATTGGGAGCAAACAAACTCTAGCATCAAATTGATTCTGACTCTTAGTGACCCTGTAGGACAGAGTAGAATTACCCCTGTGGGTTTTCCGAGACTATAACTTATTACAGGAGTAGAAAGCCATGTCGCTCTCCCACAAAGCAGCTGGTGGTTTGGAAGTGCTGACTTTGCAGTTAGTTATCAGCACAATGCATAACCGCTCCACCACCAGGAATAATCATAAGAATTATGAGTAATTCTAAGAGTCATGGCCAGACATTTTTCAAATCTCTATTCACAGATAATGCAGCTGATGCGGTTTTTGAACATTATAAACATATTATTTGGGATGAGTTGTTTTGGTTCATTTTTCAAGTTTATTTAACTAAAAAAAAACACACACAAAAACCCTCATAGTGACCCTACAGGAAAAGGTACCCAGTTTCCCTGAAAATAAGACAGTGTCTTATATTAATTTTTGCTCCCAAAGATGCG